AATTATTATCCAAATCACTTCCAATTATTGTTTTGTGTGTGACTGTGTTGCTGCCTGATACACAGTTAGTTTTATTTTAACATCTACTTAAAGGGCTTTCTGCTTCTTTGGCTTAATTGATTTTATATTTATGTAAATATTAATATGATCACAAGTCCAATCTATCAAACATGGTGGGTTCAGAGAAATCTAGCTTCTCTCTCTGTCCTCTGTCCTTCATTTTTCCATTATATGGTTTATCTTCCTATTGTTTCTTTTTCTTTTTATTAGTGTTTTAATGTTTATTTTTGAAAGAGACAGAGAGAGAGGGGTAGACACAGAATCTGAAGCAGGATCCAGGCTCCAAGGTGTCAGCACAGAGCCTGACGCGGGTCTCGAACCCATCAGGACCTGAGCCGGAGCCGGAGGCTGAGCCACCCAGGTGCCCCGCTACTGTTTCTTTTTAATAAGAGCAAATAAACATGCATACCCATAAGCCCATTTCTTAGATAAGCATCGCATGCTATGCATAACTTTTCCACTTTGTCTTTTGCGTTTGATAATATTTGGAGGCATTCTGTGAAAGCATGTGCGGAACTGTTAAAACCTTTTTGTTTTAATAGGTTAATGAAGGCCACTTAAAGGTATTAAACCAACTGATATAGTTGATGCCAGTTTTGTTATATTTAAAAAAGAAGTTTAACGTTTATTTATTTTTGAGAGAGAGAGAGAGACAGACTACGAGCAGGGGAGGGGCTGAGAGAGAGGGAGACACAGAATCCGAAGCAGGCTCCAGGCTCCAAGCTGTCAGCACAGAGCCTGACATGGGGCTCAAACTCACCAGCTGTGAGATCATGACCTGAATGTAAGTCAGACCCTCAACCGACTAAGTCCCCAGGCACCCCTAAACTAATTTTTTTTAATTAAAAAAATAATACAATGTGAAAGCAAAGAGCTGGTGGTTCTCAAGCACGGACCTGGGTGGATAAATTGTTACAATCCTTTTTGAAAAGCAAGCAGTTAGAGGATATGAAGCAAATATTCTTTGATCCAGCAACTAGATTTTGGAGGAGAGAAACTAAGAACATTATCTATTACAAGGTTTCTGCTCAAGGTCTTCATCACTTCATCACGGCATTATTTGTAATAATTAAATGTTAGGAAAAAACCTAAATGTTGAAACACAGTGGAAATAGGGTTACCAGGGTGATATTCACCAAGAATGAATGAGAAATCGCTTACATGATAAGGCTAAATGAAAGCATAAGAAATAAAATGGAACGTGCCTTTGTTTTCTCTGACATATTTCACTTAGCGTAATACACTCTAGTTCCATCCACACTGTTGTAAATGGCAAGATCTCATTCTTTTTGATTGCCAAGTAATATTCCATTTGTGTATCTAGATAGATAGATAGCACATCTTTACCCATTCAAGGACACTTGTTGTGATGAGCACTGGGTATTGTATGTACATGATGAATCACTAAATTCTATTCCTGAAACCAATAGTACACTGTATGTTAACTAACTGGAATTTAAATTTTTAAAAAAGGTATGGGTACACACAGATATGTTTATTATGCAAAATAAACATTACAGAGACAAAAAAACGTGATTGCTTTTTTTGTTGTTCTTTATCTTAGGGTAAATTTTTCTTCCTTCTACATTTGTATATTATCCAAATATTCTATCATGACAGCATATAGTATTAGCTTCTTGATAAAAAAGAAGTTTTTCGGGGTGCCTGGGTGGCTCAGTTGGCTAAGCATCCAACTCTTGATTTCGGCTCAGGTCATGATCTCGTGGTTGGTATCCAGCCCCGTGTCGGGCTCTCACTGACAGCTCAGAGCCTGCTTGGGATTCTCTCTCTCTCCCTCTCTCTCTCTGCCCCTCGCCCTGCTCATGTGCACACTCTCTCTGCCTCTCGAAATTAAGTAAACATTTTTTTTAATTTTAAGTTTTTCAAAATTTCTTTCATGTTTTTCGATATCATACTTTGTCCCAGTTTCTTTTTCTAAACTCAGAGAGTAGAGATCAGTGTTCGGGTTCCTCTTTTCTCCGGGTTAGTGGAGCGTAAGGACTACGTTGAGCTGTGGTCCCACACACGTGCTGGGGCGTAGATGGAACTGGCCTCCCTGACAAGCCAGGAAGAAAGGCCCAGGTGACCGAGTGTGGGAAGAGGTAGGGGAGTCAGGGGCCTCCCAACACCCTAGGCCACCTGCCCACCCACCTGCGGAATGCGGGCCAAAGAGCTGGGTGAGAGGCAACTGGGGTCTGGCTCAGGGGGCTGGACACACCTGGCCTTGGGGGCCCTGGGGAGATAGCCTAGCTTTACAGCTGGTGGTTGAAGCCAAGCAAGCGGCCTGGGGCTGGGTCAGTGCTTGGGTGTCGTGGCTGAAGCTGACGGCCAGTGGATGTCTAGGGGTCTCCAGGGTCTCAGGGGTGTAGCTGACCTGTGAGAGGGAAGAACAGAAGGATCCCAGCCCCACCCCTGGCCACCTGTGCTGTTCCTACCCCCACTGTAAGGCCCTCCTCTGCCCTGGAAACTAGAAAGCTGGCTGGAGGAGGGATGTGATTAAGAGACCTGGAGGGGAAGGGAAGTTAGGAAGGAAGACAGCAGTTCCGGTGATGGTTGGTACCATGACCTCTTCCTGCAGCCTTGAGGGTGCCTGTGGGCTTGGAGCACCTGGCAAGGGCAGTTCCCGGGGTGCCGGGGTGAGACTCAGCCAGGACCGACCACACTTATGGGGGCGCAGCCTGCCCGGGGAGGGGCGCCTGGACCTCCCTGCCCTGTACCGCCCTCCCCCCACCTTTTCTCCTGGATGAAGTGTCAGAGATCACAGAATATACTATTTACTGGAACACAGATGACCAAACAACACACGCATTTCAAAGGTGATAAATACCTTTTAAACATATACCCCATAAGAGAAATACACCTTCTCATCAAGTGGATGGATGTGGAACTGAAAAGGATTGTCAAATGGTCCCTTATTAGATGCCTGGAGCCATCCTCCAAGTGGATTTCAAGAATTTAATTCTTTAAAGTTGATTTATATATTTTGAAAAACAGAGAGGGAGAGAGAGAGCTGAAGGGCCAGAGAGAGAGGGAGAGAGAGAACATCCCAAGCAGGCTCCATACCATCAGCACGGAGCCCAGTGTGGGGCTCGAACTCAGGAACCGTGAGATCACTGCCTGAGCCGAAATCAAGAGTTGGACATTTAACAGACTGAGCCGCCCAGGTGCCCCTCCCCAAGTAAATTTCAGGCAAGTGAAGGTGGCAGGGGGGAGGCACAAGGAGAAGGGGTCCAAGGACAGGGAAGTCCCCTGGAGACACTTTCTTGGCCTGATTGATTTGACCGCGGGTGTGTGAGCGCTATGAGCATCCGACAGGGGATACCCTGACAAGCCCTGAGGCCAATGCCTTTTCCTGCCCATCTGGGGTGCCCGTTGCTCTAACGGGGTCCCCACTCTACACTCTATTCGAGACTCTGATGGTGTTGGAGTGGGGCTGGGGGTCCAGATGCCAGCCCTGCAGATGGGGCGTGGGATTCTCCTCACAGGAGTGACATCTGCGTTTTCAAAGAAATCTTAGGTTGTGAGCCAAGCTTCGAACCCAGCCGAAAGCCCCACCGCTGAAGTAGGCCACCAAACGGTTTAAGGGGACTGTCCTGCGGGTCTGGCACTTTGCCAACCCCCCAAGTCTTCCTGTAACTCCTGCTCTGTCTAGAGCGCTGACTCCGTGTACTTCGGAGTGTGTGTAAGATGATTTGACAGGAAGTTCAGCACCTCCCCGTTCTAATTTGGCTGCCCCAGCAAGGTCACAGAGCCGTCCCTGATAGGAAGCAGTAATTAGAGTGACAGAAGTGGCGTTTTCTGGGGTGGTTCAGAGATGCGCTTTCTGTGGTAGCGTAGAGGGGGAGGAAATGGAAACTAATCCCCTAAAGAAGGTTAATAGCATCCATGCATTCGAGTTACCTACATCAGCCTTGTCCCAGACAATTAAGAGTTGGAGGTCCTACACATTCACGTTTCCTTCCTAGGAGCGATTCCATATTCCTGAAGGCGGTCCATCTCTGACTTACCCCTCAGGAGCAGGAAGCTTCAAAGTTCATTTGTCAATTCATTTTAAAGCAATGATGAACCCATTTCATGTTCCACAGGAGCGCCCTCCCCCCACCCCCCCCACCCCCCCCAGGAAGGTGGCTCTAGGAGGCAATCCTGTGGTTATTTTAGAAGCCCTTCTTGTTGTAAGGCACAATTGGAGAATTTGTTTTCTAAGAGGCAAATACTGGGAACCTCAGTATAAATGGATAGCAATAGTCGTGATTAAGGAAATTATGGTTTCTCAAATCGAATGCTCTGTAGCCATCAAAAAGAAAGTGAAAGGGGAACGTGTGCTCAAGATTAATGTCCACGGGACGAAGGAAGCAGAGAACACAAAATACAGAACAATGTGCATACCATGCTTTTTTTAGTGTGTTTTTGAAAGAGACTAGTACCTGCATAGCTGGGAAAGGACATAAGAGATTGCTTGTAATAGTCGGTTATCATTGGGGAGCTATGGGAACTTTAAAAATTTCCAAACCTTCCAGCAATGAGTCGCATATTGTGTACAACTGTGTTTGTCCTTAAAGAAAAGGAGGCGAGACGGGTTTCGCGGCAGTGAGACCATGTCCCATTTCCACCCTTGTTACTCTGTCCCCGGTGTTACTGTGTCCCCGGTGAGGACCCTGAGAAAGCGCCCCAGGTGCACGGGAAGCCCGCCACCCAGCCCTCCCCCGCCCCGCGGAGCCCGCGCCCTCCCCGCTAGCTCCGCCCCTGCCCGCCCTCGCTCCTTGCCCATTGGTCTGCCTCCGCACCGCCGCGTCCAATCGCAGCGCTTAGCGCCAAATTCGAATGGTTGTTTTCATTTGAATCGGGAGAGCGCGGCGGCGGCTTTACGCGCGGAGCTGCTAACGCCGGGCGCGTCCCGGACGCAGCTAGGCTGGGCCACCTGGTCGCCGGCGAGGGCGACGGCGGGGGGTGGGGGTAGTGAGGACTGCGGCGGAGGTGGCCGCGGGCGGTGTCCGTCCCTGGAGCGCGGGGCGGGCTGTGGACGCCGGTGGAAGAGTCGCTGGCTTTTCCGGGTGAGGACGTAAGTTGCATCTGGAGGAGCAGGGGACTCAGGTGGCGGTGGCCGTGGCGGTGCGGGCGACTGTCCCGGGTGAGCCGCGGCCGGGGCGCCTCGGGGCTCGGGGACGGCCTGTGCGTCTGGGGGCTAGAGCTGTGGGGACTCCTCTGCTCTGCGGGAACCGGCGCCTGGAGCGCGGCCAGGGCTCTGGCGAGCGGGTGTTGGTGGGAACCCCCTGGAGCCTTGACCTTGATGAGCTTCGAGAGTTCTAGCCGCGGGTCCTTGGGGGCACTGGGTGTTGGCGGGGGCGGGGGGGGGGCGCTCCAAGGTGCAGCCCGGGGCCTGGCTGGGGCTCCCCCAGGGCTCAAGTAAGATGTGGGTCAGGGTGGCAGAAGCATGGTGATCGTATAAGCCAGAGCATTTGGTCACTTACAAGTGACTTCCTAGCTCTTTGCTTTCAGAGTAACACCCCACCTCCTCCGCGTGTTTTGTTTTTGTTTTATTCAGTGGCATGTTCCTGCATCAAGTTTGCTTCCGCAGACCTTTTGATGCCTGACCTTCCTGTACCGATTACACTCAACATCTTGTTTAGAAAATGGGTCCTACAGGACGCCTTGTTACCATCAAAAGGAGCGGGGCGGACGGCCCCCACTTTCCACTGAGCCTCAGCACCTGCTTGTTTGGAAGGTGAGCCCTGCATAGGGGTGGACAATTTCCTTTAACAGACATTAATATCCTAATCACAGATTAACAGACTGGAAACACCCGAGAAGTAGTTCCTGCCCCCAGTTTGCTGGTGACTTTCCTACCGGTTGTCAACCTCTCATGGTTGTTTATTAGGAACTAGGATTTTGAAGACAATGTTTATATACTTTTTTTTTTAATCGAACACATTTTAAAATTGATTTGATAAAATCTTTAAATGGAGAAAGATGTAGATTATCTTCAAATCCTGATTGACTTCATGCATTCTTTAGAAGGCCAGGGTGTTCATCTGAAACCCCTCCAAACTTGGTGTTCCTTGGCTGTGGGGGACCCTCCTGAGCAAATGAGGGAAAGAGCCTCCGAATTTGGTTTGTTGGGGAAATGAAGCTGGGAGAAGTCTTGCTAGTGATTTGAGAACTTCTTTCTCGCCTGTTGCTGTCCTGTGTTGTTGTTGGTAAATAGCTGTGGTCCCTGTATAACAGGCACCCTCCCGTTTTCTGACCTGTGACTCTTTATATCAATGATAGGTCACCCTCCCCGTGGAGCCCTGTGAGGTGGGTCCCACACCCCGTCCTGTCCTACCAGCCCTCTTCCACGTTCTACCCCACCACGGACATTCTACGCTTTTGCTCCTCTGTGTGCTTTTAGCCAGTTTGACCTTTACGACTGGAATGTTCTCTTATCTTCCTGTGTGAGGGATTCCTTTCCACCTTCTTGATAATCATCTAAATGTTACCTAAAGAGAAGCCTTTGGTGAACACTGCTCTTGTCTTCCCTAACGCTACACAGGGCGAGGAGGCTTTGGTTGTGTCTCCCACTCCTAAGCTCTCCCAGGACAGGGACTGTCTAGTTCGTAATTATGTACTCCGTGCCTAGTACGGGTCTGGCAAGTAAAAGGTGATCCATAGAGTTGGCACTCTGTGTCTAATAGAAGCGTGGCCTGGATGTGGAATCATAAGCCGCAGTGGTTCTCAGACTAGGATTATTTTGCCCTGCAGGAGACCTCCTGCAAGGCCTGGAGACGGTGCCCACGGTGTGGGCAGCTCATGCCACTGGAATCAGTGAACAGAGGACAGGGATGCTGCTGAACAGGGTATAGTGTCCACAGATTACAGGACACGCTCTACTATAAAGAATCATTTGGCCTCAAAGGGCAACAGTGCTGAGGTCAAGAACGACCGATCCATAGGGATGCTAGCTGGCAGTTCCCAGCCAAACAAATTCTCAGTTCTAACAAGATAGGCTCTCTCTGTGTGTGTGTCTCTTTCTGTCTCTCTTGCTGGAATATTCAGATACCTAAAAGTCAAATTCTCCTCTTTAGTCTAAAGTGGGTTGCTCTAGCTCCTTTTCGGAGGAAAAAGAATAAACGTTTTGGTATCAGATGTCAGTCACTCTGGTTATTATACAGAAGGGATTAAATATCTTTTTATGCAAGATTTGACATTTCAAACCCATTCATGGGCGCCTGGGTGGCCCAGTCGGTTAAATGTCTACTCTTGATTTCGACTCAGGTCACGATCTCACAATTTGTGAGTTCAAGCCCTGCATCGGCTCTGCTCTGACAGTGCAGGGCCTGCTTGAGATTCTCTCTCTTCCTCTCTCTCTCTCTGGCCCTCCCTCACTCACGTGTTCTCAAAATAAATAAATACACTTAAAAAAAAAAAAAAAACCCAAAACCCATTCCTAAGTGTTTGGTCATATGCCATAGGTAGAAAGAGATATTCTTAGCACCAGAATATTATATTGAGAACAGAGAGGAGAGTCTATAATTGTTCAAACTTTCAGTAACGGGGACACCAGACCCAAGGAACCTTACTAAGGACCGTTTTGATTAGTTTCTATGTGGGTTTGGAAATTCTCCCTCCTGGTGCTTCCTGTTCATGTTCCTTGTGTGGAAAGACAAGTTGAATCTAATAATGTGTATTTGTTGTTTGCATTTGTAGTTTTAATAAGACTTCTGAATCTGCCCGTTAATACAGTGCAGTTTTAAAACCATGAAACGCTCATGAGTCCGTGGCTTTTACTGTGTGCCAGGCAAACGCCAGACGTGTATAATTCATGTACTGCTTGAACAACACCGCGAGATAGGTGCTGATGTAATTGTAAGCTTTTTGTTTGTAAAGCACGGCTGCACAGACAGGTGTTAGCAAAAAATACAGCACTTGTGATGATTAAACCTCTAAACATACATAACATTACAAATGAACACATATAAACCTTTTTTTATAGAAAAAAAGCACAGAGTATTAAAGATCGTCACCGTTCTCCAGACTGTGCTATAAATGCTCTCTTATTTGGGTCTTATAAGCAGGTATTTCAGTAAAAGGCATTCCAGTTTTGTATTCTACTGTTTTCCCTTATAATTATTTCTAAGTACTTGAAGTTTTAAAGGTTTAGTATCGTTAGTTATATACCACTTGTCCAAATTGTTTGCAAAATGCACAGTTCAGGGACCTTGCCCAAGTTTTTATTCCTTTCTGTTGTTGCATTTAAGGATCAAACATATGGTCAAATGATGTTTTACTTTGAAACGTTAATGTAATTTTTTTTTTTTTAAATGCAGGAGCTTAAAAATCTTATTTATTTATTTATTTTTTTCAATTAAGGGGTATTGAATGTGACATTCGCATCCAGCTCCCTGTAGTCTCAAAACAACATTGCAAAATTGAAATCAATGGGCGGGAGGTAAGTGGGTGTTTGAAGTCTGTTTGTTTTTTTTTTTTTTAACTTTTCATTTCACTTCTTACCCATTTGTGAGTTACCTATTCCCCCCCCCTTTTTTTTCTACCTTGTAGGCAATGCTGTTTAATTTCAGTTCCACGAATCCAACACAAGTCAATGGATCTACCATTGATGGACCTGTACAACTAAAGCATGGAGATGTGATCACTGTTGTTGACCGTTCCTTCAGGTAGGTGAGAAGTCCAAACAAATCAGACTCATGTAAATGGAACTTCTGATGCACCAGAACTAGCCTTGTAGACTTCTGTGATCTTTCTGTAATGCCGGTGAGTGTCAGAGCATCTGAGGCTGCCATGCTCACCACTGGTTCTCCATCTAAAGTCACAAGAGTCTAGAAGGGATGACGCAGGGGACTTGGGTGATCCCCTTCGAGGATCCAAATGCAGTTAACTGGGCCAAAGAGGAGCGACCAGATCCTCAAGGGGTTTTATTTTGCTGCAAGTGTTGTGAAACCGCAGTTTTCAGTTTCTCTTTCATTTGAAAGTAGAAGACGCTCTTAGAGAAAGATACAAGATAAGATGCCCAGATGGGCTTATCACGAAGCGAGCGCCTTTGTGATTTCCATCTGTTACGGGCTGAATTGTGTCCCTCCAAAATTCATATGTTGGAGCCTTAACCCCCAGCAACCCAGAATATGACCGTGTTCGGAGATAGGGTCTTTAAAGAGGTGATTAGGTTAAAACGAGGCCCTTAGGGTGGGTCCTAATTCAATCTGACTGGTGTCCTTGTAAGAAGAGGAGATTAGGACACTGAAGAGGAAGCAGGTGTTCAGAGGGACAGCCATGTGAAGAGACGGCAGGGGTGCCCTAGAGAGCGTTGTACAGCTCGGGTGCAGTGTTCTGTCCACTTGCGTCCATTAGACTCAAATTCCTGGCTGTAGAATCATAGTAATTCACCCCCTTGATTCTTATTCAGGTAGGTTAGTTGAAATCACGCATTGAGGATTTTTTTTTCTTTCTTGTTGTTGTTGTTTTGTTTTTTTGCTCTTCTGTTTTTGCTCTCTGTGTTTTGAGGCTCTCCTGTGTGTGTGTTTAAATTTAGAATTATCTCCTGGTGGGTGAAGCCCTGCCATTTATCTTTCTGAGAGATCCTGTACCTTCACTGATGCTTTTTATCAGTGACTGCATTTTATCATTTTTCTCTGGTACATTGCTTTCAGCTTTGCATAATCCTTCAGGTTTAGATGGTCTCCTGGAACCAGCTGTTGGGTACACTTTTTTTTCTTAATAATTGGTTTATCTCCTTGATAGGTTGATCCTTTTACCATTATAAAATATGCTTGGTCTCTGTGAACAATTTTTATCTTAGAATCTATTTTGTCTGATGTTAGCGCGACCCCTCTCTTCTGGTTGCTGCTGGCATGGCGCATCCTTCTGTGTTCGTTCTGTGGGTGCCTTGGGATATACATCGTGACTCCTGTAAGCAGCACGTGGTGGGGTCATGGTTTTCATCCACGCTGCCAAATGGAACGCTGCCTTCCTTCCCGCCTTCGTTTGTATCAAATAGATAATCTTCTGTTTGTTCCATTGGCTGTTTCTTTCCCGTGCTTTTTCTGAATTTGCCTCCATGTTTAAAGGGTGTGTTTATCGAACAGACTTCTAGCTTGGAAGTATTTGATGTGGAGTGGAGACCAGACCTTCTTCCCCAAAATGAGGTGCTGTTCAGACTGAGATTAACTGGGATGATTAAATCCCTCCAACAAAGAATGGGGAAAAGGTCTTAGGAAGGGGCACTTGACCAAGAACTCGACTACCATGAGAAGCAATTCCAGACACCCAGCTGTTTCAGATCAGACTGCCCCCTGGAGGCCAAGTTCAGTATGCCCATAAAAGGTTGTTCTGTGAATGGATGCTTGAGGTCTGATAGAACGACTTTGTATGTTGCTAAATCTCTCTACATATTAAGAAAGGTGCCAGTCTTTGCCCGGGTACAGATACAGTAAGCAGGAAACTGAGGAGATCACAGCAGCCCTAAATTCTAGGGTGGCTCTGTGGTGACCCTGCCGTAAATAACATCACAAAGTGACTCAGGCCTCACGTGCCGCAGGGCTTCCTGGGTGACCTTCCAAGTCCTCAGATGATTTCCAGGGATACAAACCGGTGGAAATCCGATCGGCCATCCTATGCAGTAGGTTTTCACATAGGAGGTACTCACACGGGCTCGTCCGTGTTCAGAAATCAACCTGGGTCCCAACCTATGACGTTAGCATTCCAAAAGAAATTTGAGGCGACCTAAGATCTTTCCTAACTACGTTTATTTCCATGAAGAAAACAAACCTGACGTTTGTTCCTCGCTCCTTGGACATTAATCAGATGGGGAAGTTTTACCGTCAGTTACAGATCTTGAATCTGAATATGTGTCTGTCCTTCTGCGCACTTCAGGTACGAAAATGAAAGTCACGAGGACAGAAGGAAGTCTACTGAATTCCCAGGACAAAGACGCAAACAGGTGACGAGTGAGGGGTGGCATCCAACTTTGAGTTCTGATTCCTGTGCACAATACAATGAAATCATTAATGTGCACGTCGATGAATGGTGTCTCACAAGTGAGGATGACTGGCCAGTTGTAAGGAAGGTGTGACTGAGATCTTAAACATGATGAACTTAGACAAACTTGAGTTTGTTTGTTTGTTTATATTTATTTATTGAGAGAGAGTGTGCGAGCAGGGGAGACGGGGCAGAGGGAGGGAGAGAGAATCTTAAGCAGCCTCCATGCTCTGTGTTAGCCCCACACGGGGCTGGGATCCCACGGTCCTGGGATTATGACCTGAACCCAAATCAAGAGTCAGACACTCAACCAACTGACAGACCCAGGAGCCCCATAAATTGAAATAATTTCATTTTTTTTAACATTTATTTATTTTTGAGAGACAGAGAGTATGAGCAGGGGAGAAGGAGAGAGAGAGAGGGAGACACAGAATCCGAAGCAGGCTCCAGGCTCCGAGCTGTCAGCACAGAGCCCGATGCGGGGCTCGAACTCACGAACTGCGGGATCATGACCTGAGCCGAAGTCGGAGGCTTAATCGACTGAGCCCCCGAGACACCCCATAAATTGAAATAATTGAAAACTGTACTTTTATTCACAAAGAGTGGACTAGGTCAGTCTAACATTTTGGCCCAAAGGCCCCTTTAGCATCTCACGATCTGATCTTGCAGACCTTTGGTTAGGACAGCCCATTGCAAGGAATTAAAATCCGGGGATTACATTATCCCGTGGCTCTTGTTGTCTCCTGGTCACTGCTCTTCTCCATGTTTATGTACCTGAGATCATCACATCGGAGCTCTGGGTACCAAAGGGGTCCTGCACGGTGTCACGTGACAGACGTATTGGCGTTTCAGAACGCTTGGCTTATCTCCATCCTTGGAGCTTTGGTAGGACGTGTCCCGTGAACTTCTCTTCTTTATGAAGCTACCCAAGCTGGTCTCCTGTGAGCGGGTTGCGATTCTCTGGCTTACAAGTCAGTACCCGTGCCCGAAATGAGCAGGAAGCCACTCTACCGAAGATCGAGGTGCTGCTTCCCCCCTAGAGCAGTGACCTTAATGTTGACCTTGCCACTCATCAGCTTCGGGGGAAAACTAGCTTTTGAGGTTTTCCACCTACTTGGTTGGTGGGTGTAAGGGAACCAACCAAAACGCTGAACTTTGGGTTAGACAAGTGGTCTCGGATTTTGGCTCAGGTCATGATCTCACAGCTTGTGGATTCGAGCCCCCATCGGGCTCTGTGCTGACAGCGTGGAGCCTGCTTGGGATTCTCTCTCTCCTCCTATCTCTGCCCCTCTCCCACTCTGTCTCTGTCTTTCTCAAATAAATAAATAAACTTTTTACAACATTGATAAGAGGTCTCAGAGGTCTATGAACTGTTCATTGTTGGGATTGTGCTAAAGCCAGTACTGAAACTAAATACTGAGAACATGTGATAGCAGTTGGGCAGTGATCTTTGTGCTATGGAATATAATGGTACAAAAATGGGCTTGTATTTTGTACATAATTTTTAAGTTTTAATTTATTTTTCCTGTTTGGTCATAAGACTGTTGGCCAACTTCAGATGGGAAATTAGAAACGGATCCCTCACTTGCCAAATTTGAGAAGCAGCGGGTTAGATACCAAGAAATCTGAAACAGATTGAAGGAAAAAGTTAAATTATTTGCCCTTGGATATATTTTGTGATTTTTTTTTTTCCCTCTGTAGTAACTCGGATGAGATACTTTTCCTCCTTTGAAGCAACACTGAACTTTTATATCTTGCATAATTGTTATTCTTTGGTTGTTCCTTGCCCCTTAAAATTTTTTCTGACAGATTGTGAGGGCAGCAGTTGGGGGGGGCGGGGGGGGAGGAGCCGGATCTGATTGTCGTGCGCTGAGGGTGAGCGCCTGTGGTGTGCTGGTTTCACCTTGGCCTCACCATCCCGGCTCTTGGGTGCACCTGCCAGCCAAAGCACACGTGCCCAGTGGGGCCCCAGCAGGTCCTGTACCCTGTTTCTGACAAAGCTGAGTACTAAGTCAATAATTCCGTGCTCTTGGTAGGTTCACAGACGCTGCATGCAGATGATGTCTAATTGCAGCTTTGGCTCTCTCGTGGGGGGATGAGAGAGAAGTTTGAGGAACTTCCCAAAACTCAACTGCGGTTCAGTTTATTTATCTTTTTTAATGTTTTTTTAATGATTATTTTTTAGAGATAGGGAGAGTGTGAACAAGGGAGGGGCAGAGAGAGAGAGGGAGACTCAGAATCTGAAGCACGCTCCAGGCTCTGAGCTGTCAGCACAGAGCCCGACGCGGACCTCGAACTCACAAACCTGGAGATTATGACCCAAGCCAAAGTCGGACGCTCCACCGACTGAGCCCCCCGGGCGCTTCAACTGACGTCCAGTTTAAACAATTCTGAGTTTCAAGTTTGTTTCTTATACTATCATTATATATTTTTAAAATCAGCTAAGAGATACTTGTATTACGAGCACTTGCCCCTGAGCGTCTTGGGTGAAAGTCTCTAAAATTCATATAAGGACAGTTTGGTAGGGAAGAGCCTCCCTAGCAAGAACATTTTAATAACTATGACTGCCCATGTTTGAAGAGACACCTACATCACTGTTTTTTATTTTGCCAATTCACAGGAATCTCTGCGTCGAGTCTCAAGGTCTAGCCTCTCTTCCGACCCTGGTTAGTAGTTTTGTGGTTTTCTCCTGGGATCCTTCAAGGTCAGCTCTCCACGTAGCGTTACGGCGAGGAAGGGCCAGCAAGAATGCCTGTGTTCTGCATTCAGCTTCACAAAAGTTAGGAGGTTGTGTTACTTCCCATGGCACACAGGCAGACATCTGAGTTCACTTTTTCCTCAAGTGACTTAGAGGGCACCGTGCTCACTGGAGCATCCAGGTATAAGCGGTCTCGTTCGGTTACCGGTTTAATTGAGTAGATTAACAGCATTCCATGCCCCACATGGGTTATAGGAGGCTGACGTGACCTATCTGTTTGCCTCGTAACACCAGCGTCAGAATACTTCTGTTACACGCTTTGGGCATTAAATAATTTGCAGGCTAAGTGAAAAGCTAGATTAGAAGACAATTTGAAACGCTTTTAAAATTCGAATACTTTAGGTGTTCATCACTGAGGAAAGATTGAACTTTCTGTTTCTTATTTCATAACTCATCGCCCAGACGGGAAGCTTCAAGATTCCGACGTCCGTTCAAGAGCCTCTGAAGACAGTGTTTCAGGAAGGCCTCTGAAGAATGTCCAAGCAGCGGGCATGGTCTCTGGTGGCTGTGAGGACTGGGTTGCAAGCAGAACGCCTAATGTCGTTCTTCCCTCAGAACTTGCTGGAGGTAACTCCAGAAATACCACGGATCCTACAGGCAGGGATTCTAAGGAAGATTTCAGCATAACATTAGTGAGCTGTAAAGGAGACCTGAAGCCTTTACCCTCTACGCAGGGTCTGGAGAATGGTGCAAACAATGAATCTCCCTTTAAGAAGCTTTACGAGTCAATGAAGGAAGAGCTTGATGTGAAATCAGAAAAAGGAGACGTGCTACAGAGCGGTAAAAAATCAGGAACGCGGAGTCATCACCCACCAGAGAAGGAATGTTCTGGTGATTTACAAGGCGGGACACAAGTCCCAGGGTCACTTAAATCCAGACCTAGGTCAGGTCGGGGCACCCAAATGAAGGCAGATCCTGCTTTGGGAGAACAAGGTATTAGCCAGACCGAGGACAGGAGACAAGGTGAGGAGGCTGTGGAGACTTCCAAGGAGACCAGGGGTCCCATCGTCCCTCCTGAGGAGATGACAGAAACCAAGACCCTGGCACAACGTTCCCCACAGGCCTCGCGGAAACGTCAGCATGAAGACATGATGGTCGCCGGCGGAAGTGCGCCTGTGAATTTGGATCAAAAGGAAGGCTTCAGGACAGATAACAAGACGTTTACTCCTAGGAAGTCCTTAGCCAGAAACCAAACACCCGCTAAAGTCGAAAACGCTGATAATTTTGGAGATACACCAGAAAACCTCTTTTCCAAAAGGAGGAGGAGTATTCCTACCAGTGTGGACGTTCTTACACCAGAACCAGAAACTCAGAATCACGCGATTTTAGCTCCGTTGCCCGTTCAAGTTGAAAGGAAGATTCCGAACAGTTCTGTCCACCAGCCTGAGAAAGCGGGCGCCGCCGTGGGGCGCATGCACTCTGGGTTACCTGGTCGTAGTTCAGTTGATACAAGCAACTTTGGGGACTCTATCAGTAAGTTTACTTAACTGTGCATTTACCGCCCCCCCCCCCCCCCATAGCTCATACCTTGTATCTAGATAGGAACCGATGAGACCTCCCTTCCGTCGGTGGTGATTTCACCGTGGCAGGGAGCCTATGTGCACAAAGCCAGATGCACCGTCTGCTCTCATAGACTCGTCCTGAAGACGCGCACGATTGTAATCCGGGGCTCCGGAGGGAGGGCGGGTTGTCAGGGACGAACACAGCCGGGGACCTACAGGGGTCCAAAAACGTGTTGGATTCCCCCGTTCCACCCACAAGAAGATAGAAAGGAGAATAAGCCTAGTAATAAGCATAATGGCTTTCCAGAAACGTTTGAGTTCCGAACTATAAGCACTCGTATCCTGTGAGTTTGCTCCTGTAAACTAAGTCCAGGGAAGTCCCTTGGGAATGTTTAAATACAGGGAGGGTGTCTCTCAGGTACTTATACTCTGTTTTCCGTGTCTCCTAATAGTAGTTTGTTGTTGTTGTTGTTGTTGTTGTTGTTTGTTGTTGTTGCTGCTGCTGCTGTGTTATAAACCACTGGACTATCCCCACGGGTTTCTGTATCAGGAGCTGTTGTAGGTGTTTTAAAGACATGGGCACTTTTGATCCTCTATGCAGGTAGCAGGTGGGCCCCCGGGACAGGTATCCCTGTTAACTTCCCTTTTGTAAAACGGGAAACCGACGGCCTCCTGTCACCCAGCGAGCGGCAGGGCTGTGACCCCCGAGCGGGCTCAGTAGCTCCTGGGTTTTCTCCCATACTTTTCGGCCGGGGGGGGGGGGGGATGGTTCTGTGGGTGTTCTGAAGTAGCAGGCTTACCGTCCGGGCTCTGTTTTGCAGACGGTCCCTCATGCGAGGTGCACCCCTCTCTGCAATTAGACCAGCACGCATCCATCACTGTGTCCCTATGAGTCTCAGAAAGGAGGCATCACTCAGACAAGGGATTCTTGTTGAGTGCCGGTTCATGGGGATGTGCGGTGGGGTTGGGACTCGTGAATCGCCTATTCGAATCACCTGGAGAAGTTTTCAAGTTCACGACTTCTCACTAGGTAGGCCTGGGCGAGGTCCGAGTTCATAGGTGTCTTTGGAAAAAGCCCTATCCGGTCACCGCAGAAGCATCCGTGTCTGTCATTCCCCTGCTCCAAAGTGAAAGCCGCCCCATCCACACCAATCCCTTTATCAAGCTCTGTCCACGTGGGCATTTTCAACCTTTCCTAGGAGATCTTTGTACTGTCCGGTTGGGACGTGACGCTTTGTGAGTTTGTCCCTGGGTCTTTTCCTGAGCTCCAGCTCCGTGAGCGTTACCAAAGGAGGAGACGCTGTGGTGTTAGTTTTCAAGGGGGCTTTTCCATTGGTTTGTCTTTAACGGCAACTTGAAACACGTCTCAGGTGTCCGCGCATCGTCCATTCCTTCTCCACGTTTGTATTCGTTATTTCAGATAAGACTGAGGGAACACCCCTGAAAAGAAGGCGGGTCTCCTTCGGTGGTCGTCTGAAGCCGGAGTTATTTGATGAAAACTTACCTCCTAATACACCTCTCAAGAGAGGAGAAACACCCAGAAGGTCACTTGTAAGCCACACTCCACCTGTCCTGAAGAAAATCATCAAGGTAGGGTCAACGGTCAGTATTCTCACTCCCGCCTAGGACACATCCTTTCCAAACGCCCCACACCAGCACAATGGCAACGGAGACCTTTTTCTTTCTAAAAACGTAGTAAAGACAAAAAATTATAAAGGACGGCTCACTCACTGAGGGGTGGAAAATGGACCCCTGGGCTTGGAACCCCGATTCTCACGTGGCTGAGCACAGCGGAGGCCTGTGAAGGCCTCTTCTGGCGGAGGCCTCCTGCCAGCCTTGCTTCCAGAAGACCACTCAGGCTGGGGGAGGGGGCGGGTTCAGTAAAAACTACCAATCAGAGGGGCGCCTGGGTGGCTCAGTGGGCTGAGCATCCGACTTCGGCTCAGGTCATGATCTCACGCTTCATGAGTTGGAGCCCCACGTCGGGCTCTGTGCTGACAGCTCAGAGCCTAGAGCCTGCTTCGGATTCTGTGTCTCCCTCTCCCTGTCCCTCCCCTGCTCATGACGACGTGTCTCTCCCTCAAAAATAAATAGATAACCATTAAACAAACAAACAAACTACCGATTAGAAAGAATCTGGAGACATCATGACACAAACCATAAGGTGGTCTGTTTGTTTGTTTGTTTTCTTTTAGAATTATAAGGTGAAAAGGAAACCCTTGAGTGGCAACACGCCCATGATTTCCACCATCAGCTATTTAGAACTTTGTAATCACCTACGCTAGGCTGTGTTGTCCTCCTGAGTTTAGGTCTTTAGAAGGTATGGCCGCCCAGCTCACCCCCCTCAGAGGGCCTGGGCAATCTTTCATTTCTTTTCCTACCAAAAGGAGTATAAGGTATGTGTGGCTCCCTTTCCATTCTCTATTGGCTCCCAGAAATGAGCGGCCCTCCTTCCACGTAGACCAAAGGGGATTAGACGTCCACAGGTGGTGTTTTCTCCAATTCAGATCAGAGCATGCTCACTCCTCACTTAAGACTGGTTTGCTGTCCCCCCCACCCCCCCTCCTTCCTTTTTCTCTTAAATGAGGGGCACAGACCCCCATCTCTGCCTTCCACTTGACAGACAGCGCTTGAAACGTTTTGGTGCTTCCAGATTGAAACAGCCAAAATTCTTTAACTGGGCAGGGTTTTCACATCCACTACAGAGACTCTGTGTTGGCGGTAAGGTATCTTATGAACGTTTAAATCTCGTCAGGACCGTCCTCAACCATCGGGAAAAGAAGATTCTTCCGGACTCCATTTGGAAGGGACCGCACAACCGCAGTTCGCGGGATCTCCAGCTCGTGATCCGACCAGGACTTCTCCAGGTGCCCGTGACCCACGTCGCAGGTCACCCAAGGCGTCCTCGGTCTCCGGCGGCAGCAAATCTCATCACACGGATGTTCCTAAGAGGGGAGGCAGGAAGAGCGGTGGCTTGCTTTCAAAGAGAACCTCCATCGACCGGAGCCAGCATGACATCTTGCAGAGGATTTACTCCAAAAGAAGGAGTGGAGCTTCTGAAGCCAATTTAGTCGGTTAGTGTCGTGTTCGCGGATGTCTTAAGGTCAGTTTTCTCGCTCACGGGGCTTCGGAAACCTTTCAACACGTTTTCCTTGTGACAGTGGCGAAGTCGTGGGCGGACGTAGTGAAACTCGGGGCCAAACAGACCCAGGCTAAAGCGGTCAAACATGGCCCCCAGCGACAGCTGAGCAAAAGGCCAAGAAAAGCGAACACTCCGAAGGTATGAACAGCTCCTTGGCCACGTGCTGTGAGGTAAGGTCGCGTTGGGTGGGGAGGTACGCGCTGATGTTTCCTTCATCTTGTTACATTTTTTTTTTTTCCAGAAGCCTGTTAGCGGCGTTCACAGTGAGTTTAGTACAGGCCATGCCAACTCTCCTTGTACCATAATAATAGGGAAAGCTCACCTTGAAAAAGTAAATGTGCCTGCCCGGCCCTACAGAATGCTCAACAACTTTGTCATCAACAAGAAGGTGGACTTCAATGAAGATCTGTCAGGTAAAAGCACAACCTCGAGGCTTGGAAACCGTAGCCCTTCGATCCCCCTACATGTGAGAACGTGGACGGATGCCGTAGATGTGTATGGTGGGGAGCAGACGGGAGGATCAACGATCTAGTCAGCTCCTGGGGTTCTGGTGGTTCAAGGAAGAACTTGCTGGGTTGGACGAGAGCCGGACCTCGACCGTATCGGGGGTCATGAGTCCCGCACGAGGCAGGTATGAGTGGTAACTGCACAGCTTTGCCTCGGATGGCAGCATCCATGTAGAGTATTGGAGTCCGCTTCATGGTGAAGAGAGCAGGCTCGCTTTTATAATCGCCCCTCCCCTGTGTTTATACTGATCGACCGCCCCGAAGTTGAACAATATTTTACTGTTTCAAGAGGTTCCTTCCTTTCCATGACGCTTAACTGTTTCTAGAAATGAAAGCCTGTGAAGAGGCCTTCCCTTAAGCATGAACAGTTGAACCAGTGTTTCCATTCTCAGTAACGGTGGGATGTGACTTCCTTATGGTTGTCCTAGATTAGCACCAAGACAGGAACCCAGGGCTGGGATTTCACTCTCCATGGTTTGACCGGTGCTTTCTGCCTTCAACACTTTTGGAGGGAGGGGAGACTTGATTCCACCTCCCATTAGATGGGGTCTTTTTTTTTTCTTTTCCTGGCGTATTTTTTTAGATGTTTTTGTTTGAATGTTTATTTATTTTTGAGGAGACAGAGACAGAATGTGAGTGGGTTTGGGTAGAGAGAGAGGGAGACACAGAATCCAAAGCAGACTCCAGGCTCCGAGCTGTCAGCACAGAGCCCAACGTGGGGCTTGAACTCACGAGCTGCGAGATCATGACCTGAGCTGAAGTGAGATCGGACGCTCAACTGACTGAGCCACCCAGGCACCCCTATTTCCTGGTGTATTTTAAGATGGAATAGTTCTACTCCTCTGTATAACCCAAATAAAGTTCCCTCTGAGTACTGTCACAATAGGATCACTACACATAGTTTTTTGGGGCACCTGGGGGGCTGTCAGTTAAGCGTCTGACTTTGGCTCGGGTCATGATCTCACGGTTCATGAGTTCGAGGCCCACGTCAAGCTTTGTGCTAACAGCTCAGAGCCTGGAGCCTGCTTCGGATTCTGTGTCTTCCTCTCTCTGCACTTCCTCTGCTTGTGCTCTGTCTCTCAAAAACATATAAACATTAAAAAAAATACATTTAGCTTTTAAAAAAAAATACCCGTAAACATACCTGTAAAAACGCAGAACAATTGTAGCCCATTTTGATAGCAAACTGAATGAGAAAAAAGTTTTGAGTATGTACCACCCAATATGCAGTCATATGTACATACGTGTACATTATGTAAATTATGTTCATGTGTGAGGGTTCTAATGTCCTTATGTTACAAAGCATTAAAAACCAATCCTCAGGGGCTCCTGGGTGGCTCAGTCGGTTGAGTGTCCGACTTCAGCTCAGGTCACGATCTTGTGGTTCGTGGGTTCGAGCCCCGTGTCGGGCTCTGTGCTCACAGCTCAGAGCCTGGAGCCTACTTTGGATTCTGTGTCTCCCTCTCTCTCTGCCCCTCCCCACCTTGCACCATTTCTCTGTCTCTCTCAATAATAAACATTAAAACAGGGGCTCCCGGGTGGCTCAGTCAGTGGAGCGTCCAACTTTGGCTCAGGTCACGATCTCGCGGTTCGTGAGTTCGAGCCCCACGTCGGTCTCTGGTGCTGACAGCTCAGAGCCTGGAGCTGGCTTTGGATTCTGTGTCCCCCTCTCTCTCCGCCCCACCCCTGCTTGTGCTCTGTCTCTCTCTGTCTTTCAAAAATGAATAAACATAAAAAATTAGAAAAAAAAACCAATCTTCAAAAATATTTTTAAGATAAAATTAGTAGAAATTTAAATGCTCAGTACTCAGACAGTGGGTTTTCCCAACCTTCCTTCCAGACCCCTTCCTAGAGAGTGCAACAATTCCCACCCCTTGGTGTGAGTAAGTTTCATGACAAAACAGCAGTCTGTCCTGAAGCCTGGATCCTGGCTCTTTAAGGGGGGCCTGAGTAGCGGCAGGAGGAGGAGACTTTTAAGTGAAATGGCTGGTTCGAGGGCCTCCGGAACAGTCTTCTCAAAGACAGTTTGCAGTCAGATGCCAGACCGAGAGAGCGTTTTGATCCATTGCTGGCAGGATGAGAGTAAGACGAAAGCGGGATAACGGGAGTGTTCCGGAAAGATCAGTCTTCCCTTCAAAGAACTGTATCGTGCTTTTCTTCTGAGATGCTGTTAATACTACTTTCTGGCGTTAAAAGGGAAACATGGTGATGTTGCCATTTGACAGTACTATCGATGGGCAGTCTTTTTTTTTTTTTTTTTTTTAATTGGGAAGGTTTTATTTGGACATAAGCCCCGGTCTGCCTCAGTGAGGGCTTTTCAATGCAGCATGAGCGCACCGGGTTTCTGGATGTCTGGCTGGGGGTGCCCGGGGTGGCCTCTGTCTCCCGGCTGGTGGTCAGAATTGGGGCAACGTTGCAAGACTGACATGTCCCCTTCCTGTATGTGATTTTCTCACCAAGAGGAAAAGCAAAGAAGACAAGATGCCATCGCAACTTCTCATTGCGCTTCTTCAAAAACGAGTTTGTTATTTTAAAAAAAAATCTTTATTTATGTTTGACCGAGAGAGAGCGTGCGAGCAGGGGAGGGGTAGAAAGAAACGGGGGCAGAGGATCTGAAGCAGGTTCTGCGTGGACGGTAGAGACCCCAGTGTGGGGCTCGAACTCAGAACTCACAAACCGCGAGATCACAACTTGCACGGCAGCCAGGCGCTTAATCAACCCACCCACCCAGGCGCCCCAAAATGAGTTCATCATTAATACATGACTGTCTCCAATGAACTCTGGGGAGTGATTCACTGTTCCTTCTCTGCCACTTCCTCTGAGGTCTGTGCAGACTGGCATGGTTGCTGGCATGTACGAGCGATGTGTTTGTTCATTGTTCATTCCCATATTTTCGTATACCAGGGTTAACTGAAATGTTCCAGACTCCAGCAGCGAAAGTGAAGCCACAGACGATGAGCCTGCGTCCCAGCGCTCTCTCAGAGGACGTTGTCAGAAAAGAGTTTCAAGTACCTGACCCGGGAGAAAAACCTCTGCTATGCACGTCAGAAACTTTCGGTTGGTTTACTTTTGTTTTTTCCTAGCACTTTAATATTTTCAGTAGGAATTGTAGGTGTTTTTTTTTTTGTTTTGTTTTGTTTTTTTACAAGAGATACACTATTATTTGTCTATGACGGATACTCCTGAAAAAGTACCATTTCCAGCCTCTCTGTTCTGTTGTTTTTAGGGGAACTTCCTATTCGCAGTTGAACTAGCATTGGCATTCAGCGAGTTGCGCAAAAAAGAGTACTCCTTTAATAATTGTAAACTGCCCGTGCACATTTCTGCTTTCTTTATTTAAAGGGGTTGACCAGCAGAGAAGCGGAGTGATCGCTCCTTGTCGTTACATAAATTATTCCAACTCAAAATTGCCACAAATAACCGAAAAGAAAGAGAATGCGTACAATTTAGTGCCGTGAATCTTCTAGAAGGCCTGTGCCCCAGTGTGAGCCCAAGATGGGAGAAATGAGTCTGTCTTGCTCTTGCACTGAGTACTGGTTACCCAGGGCCTGGCATGAAGGGAACAGCTTTACCATATGAACAGTGCATCCTGTGCTGAAAAGTAGATGTTTCCTGTGCAGTTAGGACCCCACACGTCCTGACGATAAGCCATGTTATTGTATTAGTGGTTCTGCAGGAGAAATGGCTGTTTGCTTCTCATATTTGAAGGAAAGAATGTCTGCATTCAGGTGACTGAGACGCGGTGCGGTAACCTTTGGGATCCCCTTCTTAAAGAACTTTTTTTCTTGTATCTGATCTCTGTGGATCCTAATCCCCTCCTAAGTGTGAACCTGCTGTATATCACCAGGTAACGATATTCTTAGGTGCGTGTGGCTCACGTGCAAGACAGATTTATGGCCACGTAAGTAGCCTCATATGCTTAGCCCAGGTGGACAGGAGGCTGAACTATTGGCTTTTACACGATATCTCATAAGGAAAACATACCAGATTGGCACAACATACTGAACAGGGTATATTTCTCACGCGTGTTTTTATTTCCTGTAGGAGAGAATGTATTCCCCGTGACTCAGAATGGACCGCAAGAGCCGTCTGATAAAAGCCTCGTGAGCCCTGTCCTCAGACGTCAGAGTGTCAGAGTAAATGTGAACATTGAGAAAACTCCGGGATCGGGGGCTCCGAAGGCCACGTCAAGCGCCAACAGGCTTCGAAGGTCCGTGGGGCCCAGAAGTATACAGATGCCAGGAGCAGGGCGCAAGGACGAAGAAGCCAAGATGGACACTGTGGAGAATGTTCCGGGACGACTTCTGAGGAAGACCCCGCAACGAGAACAGAAACTGGAGGGAGCAGCGAAGGAACAGGAGAGCTATTTTGAAGCGAGTGAGAACGATACCGAGCCAAAGGAAAATTCTGAAGAGGTGGTCGCAGTGAGGAGATCGAGAAGATATTCAGAGCAAAACCAGGAACCAGCTGCAGACCTGACCCCCCTCAAGACATGGCAAGACACAGAACCCAAGGAAGACCTGGGAGGCATCCAAGGTCTCCTCCGCATGCCCATTCGTGTGCAGGAACCAAAGGAGGCTGAGAATAAAACCGCAGAAAAGCGCCAGAAATCTTCAAAGTTGGAACTAGCTGGCATGCCAGCCGCAATGAGCGTGCAGCTTGAGACCCCTCTGCAGAAAGTGGACCTGGAGGAAGAGCCCCTGGCTCTCGGGAAGCCCATCCAGATGCCAGGAGGAAGCACACACTCACACGGAGAACCTGCAGGTGGTGATAGAAACAGCGGATTGTTTAATAGAACTCCAGAGCAGAAGCTGAGCCCTGCGGAAAAGCTACCTGCAAGCAAGAGGCGGCCAAGAACACCCAAGAAAAAGAATCATTCTCTAGAAGACCTGGCTGGACTCAGAGAACTCTTTCAAACCCCAAGCCACACAGATAAACCAATGACTGGTCACCAAACCACCAAAGCACCCTGGCAATCTCCTCTACCAGGACCAGGCAACACGCCAGTGAGTCAAAAGAGGCGGCTCGAGACCCCTCCCCAGAAAGTAGGCCTGGAGGAGGAGCCCTCTGCTCTCAGGAAGCCCACCCAGACGCCAGGGGAAAGCACAAACTCACACAGAGAACCTGGAGGTGATGATG